ATGAATGAATACTGGAAGAGGTATCTACTTCTCTTAGCTTTTAAGTCAGTTCACAAACGCTTTCTCTTTAATTCCACTTGTATTCCATGCCCAAAAGCTTACGGAAATAAACTACAGGCCCACCTTGGTGTGATTAACCATCAACATCCAAAACCCCAAGTACAATATCCATGGTCTCACCTAATCCTAAGACTCTTTATTTCAGAACCACTAGTCCCAGAACTTGGAACCTACATCCTTCCTTTCTACAGACTTAAATTTATAACTAGGCCTTGGATTTCAGACAAAATTTTTAATATACCTATGCCTATCTTAAGTAGTAGATTTAGAAGACGGAATGAGTAGAGGACTTAAAATAAATCCTATATGATCTTTTTTATTGTATAGAATTTCCACTAAAATAGGTCTTTTTTTTTACAATTTTCCAGTAAAATTACTATCCTGTCACCTCTCCATTACTAAATCTCCGACAATGTAGTTGTTTAGTTCAATACTTGTTTAATTAAAAACGCATACTATTCGTTAATTATTTTATGTAAAATCACGAATTCCATCATATTTATATTTTTAATGAAAAGGACATTAACAATGTTGCATTAATGGGATTAATTGTTATACTGATGGGTCACTTATGACAAGCGGATCTGGTGTTGGTTTTTTAAGAAAGGATAAACCAGACGCTGGCATGTCAATACCACTTGGTAACTATGCAACAGTGTTCGAATCTAAAATACTGGCGATAACTTACTGTGCTTCAAAAACGTTGCTAGACAGGTTAATCGGGAGAAGAATTGCAATATATACTGACAGTCAAGCGGCCATAGGAGCACCGGACAACTATACAACTAGATCTAAGGCTGTTAGGGATAGTATCAGAATTCTCAATGACTTATCCAGACTTAATAAGGGAAACATTGAATGGGTTCCGGTTCACTCTGGAATATATGATAATGAGATGGTGGATGACCTCGCCATACTAGGCTCACAAAGATTCCTATAGCTCCTGAACCCATCTGTGAAATTAGTCAGTGTCTAATAACAAACAGAATTGGGGAGATCTATGGTGCTGAAACTAAACAGAATTGATGCTTGAAAAAACAGACTCACTCTAGACTGTTTCTGGAAGGAATCTCAAAAAAAAGTGATCTACTAATTAATCTGAACAGGAGCTCATTTAAGAAAATTACAGCGGTATATACTGGGCACTGTAAACTGAATTATCACATATTCAATCTCCGGCTCACGGAGTCGTCTCTCTATAGGTACTATGGCCAGGACGATGAGACAGCTTATCACATTACTAGTTGGTGCGACAGGTTTGATGGACTAAGATTCCGACTATACAGCATTGATAGGGTGATTGATCCCAAGGCAAACGAGTTCATCAATCCAACAAGCTTATTACAGTTCATTGAGATCGCAGGAATTACGCTCTAAATAGGAGTGACTTTAATAGAGGTGCAATAGGCCTACATGGCTGCAGTGCACTCATGCCGCTTAAACAAAATAAAAAAATAAAATAAAAAAAACATTGTAACAATTGACTTTAGAAATACTTAAGATTTAAAAGAATTTGTCTGAATCCTGAGATAATAGTTTCAAAAAATTTAGCAAATATTATTTAACACCAACTTAAATATTTGATTCAAGTAAGTTTCTCAAATCATTGATGGGATCAGTCAGTGGAATTCATCGCTTTCAGTTTTGATCGCCCAGCGGTTCCATCGGGGTCTACGGATCTCCTCAATCAATTGGTGGAATCAACCAATAGAATCAGCACTGAGTTTAGGAGTCCTTTTTGATATTAAGTAATGTTTATTTTTAAAATTCTAATTTTTATAAACATTGCGGTTTAATGTTTCTATTCAATTTTACCATATTCATGGATATTTGTTATATTTAAACTCTAAAAGTAATGTTGCATACTACATTTTATGATGTATGTGATATTAAACCACTATGAGTGGTTTAAGATCTTTTTTAGATCTAAAAATTGATTGAATCTATTCCTTGGAAAATTTAGAGCTACAGATCCAGGCCTATTTATAACTTATGATATATATTTCTTAATTGACTCTATAAATCCTGCAGAATTATTTTGTGCTTAACATTCATTGAGCTACCCTCTTAAGAACGTAAAAATTCATAATTTTCCACCACTTTCTCTTTTTTATTTTAACCATATCTACAATAGTCCATTAGCATTTTAAATTCCCTTAAATTTAATTTAGTTTGAAAGAAAATCTAATATTTTGTATATTGATTTTATTTTAGATATTTTCTTCTCCCTACAGTATAGCAATAAAGAGGGAAGTGTGTTTTGATAGACTGTTCATCGGGTGTATAAAATTTTTGAACGGATTACTCAACTGATTTTCCTATTTTGATATTTCAAATCATTTGGTACGGCCTTGTGAGTGTTTAATTTGAGCTCATGATATTGATAAATTGCTGTATTAAATGTGTTTAATGTATCTGTTAGAAGATATTATGTAAAGATTATTATTTTTCACTAAAGTATATATCAGTTCATTAGATTACTGATACACATTTCTTTTATCAATTAATATAACACATACTATCATTTTTCCATCTTTAATATTTATTATTTCCTATTTTCATACATTCATATTTATGACTGTTATTCTATATATATTTTTTACTCCATCTTCCTTTGTTTCACTTTCTTTGCATCTTTCTTTTTAGCCCTGATAAAGAAATAGGATGTGGATCAAAAAATCAACACTGAATAAATATCAATTATTTAATTTTTTTTTAACGCCTCCAAGACCACACCCTTCTTGATCTATCATACAGTCAATCATCAATACATGTAAAAAAGAATTTAATTGAAAACCTGACTAAAGAATTCAACCTGTTATATTAAGAGACAGAATATACTTACATATCTATCTAATTAATTACATTAATAAGTTATCTGTCAAAATAATGTCTATGGATATTGAAGCTTGATATAGTAATAGAGTGCCTTCCACCACAAGTTAAACCTCATTGCAGATACGTTCCATCTCTTAGATCTGTACATGTCAAAATACAGAAAGCTTTGTGCATATGTGTGTGTGCGTGTATGTAAGCAAAAATAAAGTAAAGTGATGTGTCGTGAGAAGATACTTGAGTTTTGTTCGGGTGTGGAACATATCCTACTACTACACTTATTTTCAAAATCCATAGACATCAACTTCACAAACATTCCTTTAATGTGTTTAAGTAAACATGTAAGTATATTCTGTCCATTACGGTAACTTAAATTTATCTTTTCATTTATAGTTACATTTATAGAGGATATTTACACCAGAATAAGTATATTTCCCACTTTAGATTTATCTTCTTATTGTGAAATAAATATCTTTTAAACTAGTTGCATATTATAAAAGTGGTTTGTTGAATTAACATTGAATTGTTGTTTTGATGTGGTATTTGCTCTGTTGCTTATTAAATTTTTCATTTGGTCTGAATGTTTATAACCATTTTATAATGTGATAATTGTATTATTTAAAATCTCAATAACAACAGTTTGCATATATGTACACGTGAACAGCTTTCGGTTCTAAAATAAAACTGAAATTACAAATTTAAGGTAGATATACGCCTGAAATGTTACAGCATCTTTTTTCTAAAATCAACTGAATGGAAGTGCCATTTTATATTATCAATTTTTCTTAAAAATGACTTTAACAATTTGAATTCATCTATTATAGATACTATTATACTAAGTCACCAAATATGATAGTCCCCATGACATTGATTTTATTCCCATGAAAAAGGCGCTGGGTGCTGAAAGCTGCTATGTATGAGATATAAAATAAAACATTTATTAAAAGATTCATCAACGTCTTAAGATTTCAGAAAATAAAGTATTGCATAGAATATTCAGACCCAAGGGTGATTTAACCAGAGAATTTTGAGGGTTCCATAATGATGAATTGCATGAACTGTATCCGGTTCATACAATGGAGGTGATTATACGTCAGCATATAAATAGGTGTATACAATTGTTCAGAAAGAATTCTTATGAGGTTAATGTGCACTGTGCCGACTGGTAAACGTCTGAGGGATAGACAGAAGCGAAGGTGAAAGAATTGCGTTAAGGCTGATCTGGCAAGGCTAGATTTGAATGACGACCGGTGGAAGAAAGTGTGAAGAGAGCGATTGGTGGTGTCGGCAACGAACCTTTAGGTTCGCTAAGCCTTTTATTATTATTATTAATAATAAAAGATTCATAGAGGAAGTACGAATTTTACCAGACATCTAAGGAGGCTCTAGTTCTAGTTAGGACTTACCTTAAGATTTAAAAATGGCTCTAGCATAGCAATAATTAAATATATATATGTGTGTGTATATATATATATATATATATATATATATATATATATATATATATATATATATATATATATTTAAAAATCAATTTAGCTAAATTATGTAGATGATCACATTTGCTGACTTTAGCTAGTTTCTCTTTTTCAAGACAACATGAATAAAAACCAAAAGGTTAATAGAAAATAGAAGGTTTTTGGTATGTAGTAAGCTAACAAACAACCAGGGCAATGAGAGAACCAATAAGCGTGTGAGTGACAGAAGTAGGTTATAAACATTGACACAATTCTGTCTGAAACTTTTGGATAAATAAACAAGCCATTACGATGGCTTTCTTCTAAGAGAAGTGAATAATATAAGGGGAAGGCTATTAAGTAGGGAAATAAAAACTTGGGTGATTTTTTTTGTTTTTGTTTTTTACTTTCTTTAAAAAAATAAAATAAAAATTATTTGGGTGGTATAAAGCAGTTTATTTTTAAAAATCAAACTATACATCAGATACAACAATAAGTCTTATTTTACAAACACAGCCGAACATGCCATTTGTTCAAAAATAAATTCTTTGTAAAATTAAACTTGATTCCTAATAAGCAGTGTATGAAGCAACTAAATTGAAATGACAATAATCTAGAGAGAAAATGAATAAGAAATAGACCAGTCACCTCTCGTATCGTGAGCGTGTGTGACATCATCTGGATGTTGATCTGTGACTGGGAGGTCGGCAAATTCTCTGATGATCGCGATCGTAGAAGCTGCCGACTTCCGTTCAACACTTCCCTGCTTTTAAGAGTCATCTCAGTCTTGACAAATACCCTTCGGATGTACTTGGAGCTTAGGCCTCGGATACCAAACGCCACCCTTAGCAGTTTCCTTGGACTCACCTGATATAAAAAGAAAAATTAACTCCAAAAATAGATCATTATCCATCAATAGGATTCTTATCAACCAAACCAAATTAGTTATATTTGTTCTGGGAATTCATTAATTAAAATCTGCAAATCTGCTTATCAAATATAACATTTTCAAATTTATTATTTAAAAAAATTACTTATTATTATTAAAAAATTACAAGTTGTCTAATGAATAACATTTGGAATATTCCATGTCATTGAATAATAGTGGATATTCATGATTGCAGAAAGCCAATATACTGAGTTTCACACAAGTAAAAATCTATGAAAAAGTATATAATTAACCATGGTTTGATTTTCCGTAGATGAGCAGAACATTAAGATTTTGTTTTTTTTAAGTATCACATTTTTGTTGAATAGAAACTGACGAAAAAAATTTTAATTTAGTTAATGAACAATTGATTCATAGCATAGTAAACTAATTAAAATTTCCTTCAAATGTAAATAAACTATGCCAAGCTCATTTTTCATTAAAACATGAATTATTTGGGGATTTTTTTTTTTTTTATTATCCTCCAACTGGACTACGGCTACTCCATTTTATTAAAAACTTTCTTGTTTAATAAACTTAAAAACAAAATCAATCGAGTTGAGATTTGTAATTAAATAAGACGAGATTCAAATCTATTTGAATGAAAAAATTGTGATTTAATATTCTATAATATTCACCCTCGAGTACCACCTGTGTTTTAAGCAAAAATAATTACTGTAAATTATTACAAACATCCAATTTTTTTTCCCTCCTGTGATCTGGGATGTATTATAATAAATTAATCATAAAAATAAAATTTTTATTTATAAACTTAACAGCTAAATGTTCCCAATCCTAATATATAAATTTTTAAGACAACGGTTTATAAACAGGTTATGAGTATTGTACTTTAATATTTAGATCAATTATCCGTAATTCGATTATATCATAATATTCAATATTAAAGAAATAAAAAAAATTATAATACATAAACTATAATTAACTAGGGCAAAGAATATAATAAAATTACAGTCAACTTACTGGTATCTGTGAACAGAAACTGTGTAAGGCTGAATCAATACCATTCTCCTGTATCTCTTTGCTCCAGCGTGAATTTACATCTGAGGTATATTTCTGGAAAAGGACAAGGATCGCCATGGAAATCCTGTAGAACACCTTGATTCCTTCATGAAGGTAAGTGTCCATAACACGAACCTATAAGAACATATGATAAACTGATATCAGATAACTGGCTTACTTTTACAAATAAATAAACATCACAGCTCAATATCGCTAACATAAAATATCACTCCTTTATGTTATTTATATCAAAGGCGTCAATAGAGTGCGAACCCTCAGATGGTTCACTGACCACATAAAGAAACCTTTTTTATTGAATCCCCTAACTTCTCCAGATTTTCTCATGCCATATATAGGAAAACTTCAGGTCAGTGAAAATAGGTCTATGGTTGTGCGAGGAGGAGAGTTGACTGAGATTAGGCTCAACTGCCAGATTTATTTACCTTAATTAAGGATACAAACTTTATAGAGGCTGGGTGTGCCTCAGGGCCAACAAAGCAGAATAAATAATTTATCTTCCCATCAGCCGGATTCGTACCTGAGACCTTAAGCATTGGAAATAACCGCCCTACCAATATCTTCTTTGTCAATATCACCTTAGTGGAGTACTTAGCAAGTATAAGTTTCTGGATAGCTCTTTTATTTCTTAACTCAGGGTTCTTCAAACGTTATGGTCCACAGGCCACAATGTAACTTTCCTAAAGTCAAGCAGGCCATATTGAGACCACCACCAAGTCCTGCAGGCCACGGACTCATTATGACAAAAAAAAAAATTGTTCTACAAACGACACTTCATTTCTGAAATGACCTTCCTAAAATAATCAACTCATGTAATAATGTTTGTAGTAATCTTGTTTTCGAGTGATTTACTAAATTTCGTAAATTTTAACGTGTAATCAAAGAAATTTTTGAGGGGCATAGTTCGGAGATCCCTGGCTTAACTGAAGAGATATCTTGCTGTAGAGCAAGCCAATTACTTATGAAGTAAACTCATCTTTCAACAATCACTATACCTAGTTCTGTTACATTAGTTAAATAATACTGTTACAAAATACTGCCATAAATACTGTTACAAAAGTTGAACTTTGTTTACATCCTTGGGTATTATTTAGAAAATCCTTCTATGAGGTTATTTTCTTTACACGTCAGGATAATAATCGTCTTACACAAAGTTGGAAGATGGAGGTCAGAGATTTTCAACACTTTGAAACCTTTGGGTATCAGCCGTATGTTCATGAACCGCACTATAAATAGATATAATGAGACCCTATCTGTATGTGACAGACCTCGACCAGGCCGTCCCCGCACTGTGAGAAAAGCAAATGCAGTGAGAGCAGTGGCTGCTTGATTCAGAAGAAATCCCATTCGAAAAAAACAAATTATGTCTCGGGAAATGGGAATCTCTGTCAGATCAATGTCTCGCATAATAAAAAGTGGCCTTAGGATGGGTGCACTTCGAAGAATCATAGGACAAACACTAATCACTTTCCTAAAAAAATTAGAGTGGATAGGTGCAAAGTGCTCCTTGGCAGTTAATCCAATGGTCTTCATCGAAAGATTTTGTTTAGCGATGAGAAAATTTTTACAATTGAAGAAAAATTGAATCGCCAAAATGATTGTGTACACACACAGCTCTAAAGAAGCCCCAAAAATCATTGAAAGAGTGGAAAGAGGTCATCACCCTTCCTCAGTGACGGTTTGGTGGGGAGTTTGCTTTGATGGCACCACAAAGCTCCATTTTTGTGAAAAAGAAGTTAAAACAGGCACCAAAAATTATCAGGACAATATTTTAGAACCTGTTGTCTAGCTTCTAAATGATACTCTGTTTGCTGGAAGTCATTGAGTTTTCCAGCAGGATTCAGCTCCAGCTCACAAGGTCAGGTCAACTCAGCAGTGGCTGCAAAAGAACATTCCGGAGTTCATCTCTGCCTCGGATTGGCCATCAGAAAGCCCTGATCTCAACCAATTAGATTATCGGCTTCGGTCCGAACTGGAGAGGATGGCATGTCACAGAGCACACCCTAACTTGGAAAGCCTTAAACAATCTCTGATTCGAACAGTTCAGTGCTTTCCTCAAGAAGTGCTGCGTGCTACTATTGATGAGTGGCCACTGTGATTAAATGCCTGTGTCAAGGCAAAAGAGGAACATTTTGAGTAATTTCTTTTTTGTTTTACTCTCTGTAGATATACATTTTATTTTCTAATAAAGTTTTTGAATAAATTAATTTTTCTGTTGAAATCTGTATATATTTCCTTATAATAATATTTATGACAGGACCAAGTATAATAGTAGATATTCTTGATAATAGAATATTTTTTATACGAATAAAAATGTTTTACAAATATTCTTTCTACTTCAAATGAATTACAGAGATTTAAAATGAAAATTGTGACACAGGTTTACTTTTTTTTTATAAAATAGAATAAAATGAGCTTAAAACTGAAATTGATAAAAACACTTACCAGATGATTAAAAGGAAGACCTTGCAATACCCACCAAATCCAGTCCATGTAGATCCTTTCAGATCTAGAGTTTGGACATTGTCGGCTAAGGCTTACAGCAGCTGACTTCTGAAACACCAGTAAATTAAATTAACAATTATAGGCATCAATTAAACTCAGGGAGTTTACCCTGATCAGGAAAATCTGGAAAAGTCAGGAAAATTTATGAAAAAAATACTGAGTCAGGAAATTTCTCAATCTAAGGGACATAAGCACAAAATTGATGTTATGATTCAAAATCACTGGCATTAAGGAAAAAATTTACACAATTGTAATATATACACAAATATCCATATGATCACAGTGTGTGTATTCGCGTAATTTTAGTGATAAACAATTATTTTATTTCATTTTTCAGTAATTGTTTTTTTTTTTTGTTTTTTTTTTTCTAGTCCCATCCTTCGGGTTTGGTGCCATTTTCTCATAATTTAACATATGTCTATTTTAGGCCATAGGTCACCAAAAAAACTTGATACCGTCTGCAAATAGAGGTATATAAATCAAAAATTAAAAATTTTAAAATTAATTATAGCGGTCTATTTTTAATTTATAATTATATATTATAATTTTTAGAAACGGAAAACGACATTCTTTGAAATAAAAGAATGAATTAGGACGAATCATATCGTAATGACAAATTTTAAAAATTTTATGGCGCGGTGCATGGTAGGTGAATGATACAAGTTTATTGTCTGAGGCTATACTTGAATGGTAAAAAGTAAATTAAAATTTAGTTTGCAGGTTCTTGAAAATGGCTCCTGAAGCCGAAACGTTGAATAAACATACATGAAATAAATAAAAAAATTGTGTTTTTTTGGTGACCTATGGCCTAAAATAGACATATGTTAAATTAATTGTTTTTTGTTTCTAATTATACTCGTAATACTAATTATTAAGGGAAGAATATCATACTAAAAAAGGTAGTGTTTTATTTTTAATGCCCTAAAAGTCTAAGCCAGTTTTACAAATGATATTTCTACTTTTTATTATATCAAAAAGACTGCTTTGATATTATTATTTTTATTTATTAATTTTTTTTTTAGATTACTTGTAATATTTAATTTTATTAGTTAGATTTTTTACAGATATATTTCATATGAAATAAGTAAATAAAAAATATATAATTTTCTTATAATATCTCCAGCATTGTTGATTGCACTATTTAAAATTATAAATATTGTATCAATTATGTAAAATTATTATCAATAAACATCACTTTATACAAATTTAGATTTTTGATCAATGTTAATTTTTTCAAACATGACCTGTCAAAGTCAGGGAATTTCATAACAAGGTATCAATAGAAACCATGTAAATTGACAAGGAATTAATAAAATCAAGTATTACTAAAAATCAATTTTTTTTTTTGTCACTAAAGAGGTTCAATTTTTTTTTTTTCAAACTTTTATACCTTAAATTTAACAACTAATTGTAAAATTTGTCTTAGGTCAGACGGATTGAATAAAAAATATAAGTTTATTATTTGTAATGGTATTTGACAAAGCTGTAAAAGGACAATTTTATTTAGTTTAAAAATACACTTCATGTAAAATGTTAAACATTTTATTTTTTAATTTCCCATAAATTGTGTTTAGTGAAGAACTGTCTTATTAACATTTGGTGATTCCAACTTAACCATCGATACAACTTACAATATGTTTTCTAGAAATGTGCATGACTGTCCTCCAGGTAACTTCGTGTAGCTGCTTAGTCTGTGTGATGAACATGATATCCTTTGAGGAGACAATGCTAGCGAGGCAGTTGTAGCATTCCTCTTCTAAAATAGAAAATACACACTATGACTTCATTAGTATATTTTTTGGGAATAATTTTTAACTTCTACCTATACAAATTTATCTTAATCACTAATTAATAATCTTAACTTTTTTCTTTATATAAAATTAACAATCCACATTCAATTAATGTTTGAAAAAAAAAAATTGGAAGAAACAAGGACAACTTTGTTCCGAATAATGCTATAATAACACATAAAACATTAAACTTAAAGGTTTTCAGTTGGCTTTGACCTACGTAAGCCTACAACATTCACTACTTTGTGTAATATAAATTAAAATAATAAAAACCACAATCTTTCTAATCCTCTTTCCCTGCATTAAGAAGTGTAGAAGTCAATTAACTCCTAAAATATTTTTAGTTTGCCTTGTAGTTTCATGAAACTTGAACAAAAAAAGTTTATAATTTCTAAAAACAATACATCCTTCCCCCATTAGATTTCTCTACTCCAACAAAAAATGCCAGGTCAATATAAAATGTATCAAAGCACAACAATAGATGTTACAGAAAATAAGAGAAAAAAAGCTTCATATATATTTGTAAAGAGTGTGGATGAAAATAATAATAATTAATGACCATAAAGTTAAATTTTTTATTTAAACCTTCAATGAGTATTAAGATTTAAACTTATATAATTACTCAAATTACACAACAAGAACAAATTACTTTTTTCTTTCTCTTCCCAACCTAGCCTTTTTGGCTATACAGGGTTATTCTCCAAGGACGAGGGAAAGGGTGAGGAAACAATGCTAGAGTTAAAAGCACCAAGCACCGGGACTCGAACTTGTAATCTTCAGTTGATCAGGTAGCCAGGCAATTCGATTTCTGTAAACATGTTAGCCCGCTCGGCCACCACACGAACAAAGAACATAAACCACCATCTTACAACCTACCTCACTAACCTGAACCTATTTTCAGGGAAAATATTATATTCTACAGATCCTTTTGACTTCATGGATCAAAATCATATTCTTCTGCCTTTGTCTAGACTTAGTTCTCTTTATATTTTTATTTATAGCAGGGAGAGGTCATTATTAACCATTTAAGTTATTCAATAAACTATGAAAGATAACAATCAAAAAAACCTTATAAAATGGCACTGGTAAATATAGCTACAGTTTCTTATGAAATGTATGCACTATTTTCTTAAATAGAATTTGTTTCACCAAAAAAAAGGTTTTTCATATATTAAGAGGAAACTATATAGGGGTAGAGCAGATAAGCCAAAGAGGTGGGTGAAGATTCTTCAGAGTAAGTGGTGCGCTATGTCAAAAATGGCCATTTAGACCCATTAACAGTTTTTTTTTCTGGATTTTTTGAAGTGAAAACTTCTTAAGGCGCGTTTTGCACTTTTTTTGTGAAGAGTGAGTTAAATTGAGCCGTCAGATCTCCGATGTGTAACGCTCGGGTAAAGTCGGCAGGTGTCGACTTATTGAAGTGTTTTTGCATATGTATTAAAATATTTCAAAACCCAAAAATCGTACCTACATACTGTAAGCAAGGGAAATGTTTATCATTTCTCTCTAATGGGCTATTATTCAAAATTGTATCTTAACGTGATGCCATGTTAGAGAAGCGAAAAATAGTGTCGTAAACCAAATTACGAGTTTTATTTAAGATACGGGTTAAAATATCTCAGAAACTAAAAATCGGACCTACATACTGTAAGAAAGGGAATTGTTTAGCATTTTATACTCGTAACGGGCTATTATTCAAAACTGTATCTTAACGAGATGTCGTGTTAGAGAAGTAAAAAGGAAAACAATAGTGTGGAAAACCAAATTTTAAGGAGTTTTATTGAAGATACGGTGGATGTAAGATTGACTAAACACTGCAGGCTTTTATGCACAAGGATATGCGGATGACATCTTTATTCTTATTGGTGGAAAATATCAGAATGTTCTATCTGATCTGTTGAGAAAAGCGACAGGAGTCTTGGAGAGATGGTGCCAGTCTGGTGGACTAAGCGTCAACCCGGCCAAGATAAATGTTGTAACCAAGATTAAGAAAGCACTGGAAACAAAACAAACTCTACTCTCTTTTGTTTCCGATGCCAGATGACTAATGGATATTTTAGCGTGTGCATGTGCTCTTACATCTTAGATCACTTGTATCTTGACTACCTTTTCTAGATGTTTAGATGTTGCATGCCATAATATTGTATATAGAATAAGTATCTTTTTTTTGTTACTTGTATTATCTTTATGATCTTAAATATCTTCCTTTTTATCATTAATTGTATATAGTAATTATGTTTGAATTCCCTCTTTTTCCTTGTATTTTATTTCTTTTTATTGTCCATAGTATTAATTCTGTAAATATTTCTTTCTGTAAATAGATCTGTTAACCTTTTTTGCTGCTTTATAAAAAAATATCCAACCTAATCCTTCTCACCTGAGCTAGCATGGTAGAATAAATGATTTATCATGGCCAAATCATGGGTAAGTAACTTATATTCTCTATAATTATCTCTTAAGAGATGAAAGGCTAGTAAAGCCAGGCGCCCAACAAATAAAAATTCATTGTGGAAAATTATAGTTATTAAAAATTATTTTATTATCTTTTCATTTATCCTTTTTTTTGGTCACAATGTTTGCATCTTTACAAAGAAAAAAAAGGTAGAAGTAAGACTACCTAAAATAAATAACATCCAGCTAACAGAAAGTAAGGAGGTAAAACACCCAAGTGTTATGCTGGACAATGGAATGATGTGGAATAAACAAGTGAAGTACACAACTAATAAAGCTCTAAAATGCCTCGGGGCATGTAAGAATGCTGTAGGAAAGGCATGGAGACTTAAACATCGAATGGCCTACTGGCTGTATGTTACAGCAGTCAGACCTGTGATTTTATATTCAGCTGTTGCATGGTTAAGTTGTATGTTCATGGGGCAAGAGTGGACCACAACAGGATACAATTGGAAAATTACAGAGATTAGTCTGTTTAATGATAACAGCTGCAATGAAAACTACTCCGACTGCAGCTATGGAAGTAATGTTAGGCCTATTACCATTGCAACTGGAGATTGAAACAGGCTACAAAAATTTTAACAGGCTACAAAAATTAAACTTGTATTTAAAGATAAAAACCCTGGAGGGACATTGGGAAATAGTTCATACAATGCATTCTGACACTCAAACTCGAGAATTTCTCACAAAGATGTATAAAGTAAAAATAGACAGCTCAGGAAAACAAAAACCCGTTAATGGGATTAATTGTTATACTGATGGGTCACTTATGACATGCGGATCTGGTGCTGGTTTCTGGAGAAAGGATAAACCAGAGGCTGGCATATTAATACCACTTGGAAATTATGCAACAGCGTTCCAATCTGAAATACTGGCGATAACTTACTGTGCCTCAAAAATGCTGCTTGACGGGTTAGTTGGGAGGAGTATTTCAATATACACTGACAGTCAAGCGGCTATACGAGCACTGGACAATTATACAACCAGGTCTAAGGCTGTTGTGTCAGAATTCTCAATGACTTATCCAGACTTAATAAGGTAAACCGAAATAGGTTCTGCGTCACTCTGGAATACATGGTAATGAGATAGCGAATGAACTAGCTACACTGGCTCATAAATGATACCTACAGCTCCTGAACCCATCTGATGAATTAATCAGTGTCTAATAACAAACAGAATTGGGGAGATCTATGGTGCTGAAACTAAACAGAATTGATACTTGAAAAAACAGACTCAGTCTAGACTGTTTCTGGAAGGAATCTCAAAAAAAAGTAATCTACTAATTAATCTGAGCAGGAGCTCATTTAAGAAAATTACAGCGGTATATACTGGGCACTGTAAACTGAATTATCACATATTCAATCTCCGGCTCACGGAGTCGTCTCTTTGGTACTATGGCCAGAAGGATGAGACAGCTTATCACATAACTTGTTGGTGCGACAGGTTTGACGGACTAAAATTCCGATTATTTAGCATCGATAGGGTGACTGATCCCAAGGCAAATGAGTTAATTAATCCAACAAGCTTATTACAGTTCATTGAGACTGCAGGAATTACGCTCTAAACAGTTGTGAATTTAATAGGCCTACGTGGCAGCAGTGTATTCATACCACTTGAAAAAAAAAAAGATTGATTAAAATACGATAAGATAGGTTAAGATGTATCAGAAACTAAAAATCGGACCTGCATACTGTAAGCGAGAATAATGTTCGGTATTTCATCCTCTTTAAAATGAGCTATTATTTATAATCTATATTTCATATTATTTATTTCACCTTATTTATGTTTTCACTTCTATCGTGTGGGCAAAAGCACACATCTTAGTTTTTTTAAATTATTATTATTATTATTATGTTATTTTCCTTTTTTTTTATTATTTTTATTTTTTATTTTCCTCCATAGGAATTGTGGTATAAGTATTTTAAAAGATTCTCTGATATAAAAAATACAGGAAAACGGGATATACCAGTCATGAAGTGAAGCAGGAGAGCTGTTATAGGATAGACCATAGGCGAATATGTTATATCAGGGAGAGCAAAACCTAAGACACAGACGATTCTGTCGGCCACTTTGATTCCAGCTTTGGTCAAGTGATAGTAGTGTTTATGCTGATTCTCCACAAATTGTGGCAACAAGATTCCTTTATCAGGCAATTCTAAAATAAAAAAGCAAAAAAATATTAAAAAATGTTAAACATAAACATATTTCCATAACTTTATCATCCATTATCAGACTAAATTCATAAGCAAATAATTTGTATATTCAATATAGTAAAAATTAACCATATGCAGCAATGTTGCATGAAAAAATTTAATTCTAATTAAAGGATAAAAACCATTGAAATGTAAAATTCACTTATCATCAGTTAATCACAGAAAATTATATAAAAAAAAAAAATCTGGTGCGCACAACACACAACTTTTATTTACCACTCTACTTTGAATAGAAATTACTTTCTGGCAAAGCTGGGCAATCATAAAATTTTTGAAGTGCCTTTTTAATGAATCTACAGCTTAAAGCTAACAAATCATTAAGACCATTATAACAAAAACCCTATTACTTATATCAACAGTAGATGATAAAAACCTCGGTACTCCATTTGTTTTCGTAAATCACATAACTCCAGTCTCTGAGCTATATATCTACATATATACCTAGAGAGATTTGAAAGTGTATCTGTATATTTAACCTGCAAATGATTATGGATTGTAAGCCTGTTAGTTATTAAACGTTCTTTTCCCTTGTAAAGTTTACTGAAATGAAACATGATTTTCATTGCCTGCCATAGGTAGGCTAAAAATTGTCACACTAATTTTAAGTGTATAACGATGGGACATCACAAAGGGAAAATTCATCAAATTATTCACTGATTTAACTTAAGTTTTCAAATAAACTGAGGATAAATACCTAATTATTTGAATATATCAGATCAAGAGTTATTAAACTACAGTAAGGCTATAAACATCCATGAAATATTGTTATATTACATTTCTTCTTTCACCCAAGTACAATGAAACAGTTTTTTAAACAATGTCATTGCCTAGATTCCGTGGATTTTAAATACTTTTTCAAACTAAAAAAAATGTTAAAAGTTTAAATTTAATTTAATTTCCTTTAAAACATGTGATTTCGGTTAAATAATATTAGTTTTCAAAAATTATTATTTATAATTGTTTGTCACACTCCATTACTTTCTATATTGGATATTGTTTTTCTAAAATTCTCCGCTTTCCAATGATATATTATACATATATCTTCTGAATAATATTTTCAGAGATTCATTTTCGACCTGGATAAGCATTTTTCTTTTGTTCTCTTTTATTCAATATCAAATTCTTTCAAAAGTTATATTTAGCCTTTTCTCACAACTTTTAACAATGAGAAGTAATTAATTATTTAAAATAAACCAAATTAAAGGTACTTTAGAAGAAGACATGTTGAACATTTGGCATTTAAGCCCTGTTAAGTGACATCAATGGGTATAAGACCTAAAGGATATTAAATACCACTTAATTATACAATGATGCACAGAGTTAAATGAAAATTGTTTTTGAGAAAATTATGAAAATGTGTATCACCATTGATATAAAATGGCACTTCCGGTTAGCCAATTTTAAGGAAAAAGTTGCTGTCATCTCAGCCATATACAAACCTTAAATACATAATATCAGTTTTGTACGACTTTTCGTTTTTGAGTTAGAATGTTTCACATAGACTTGGACTCAGGAGACCTCAAAACATGTATTTCGGTTGAAAACTCAGATTTGAAAATTTTTATGATTGCAAATACTTTCCCTTACTATATATTTCATATATGTGTAAGTGAAAGTAAAATTAAGGAAAGGTTGAATAATGTAATAATACTTGAATATAGGGAAGCCACAAAGAGGGTAATGTATTTCAGTTGACAACTTAGGTAAAGATTTTTTGAGCAAATGGCTGGACAGATTGTTAAGTTTACTGGCTATAATTACCCAGTGAGTTCCTGCGAGTGTTTTAAAATAATTAGAGTTCAAAAAACTGATAAATTACTATATAAAATGTGTTTATTCGGTCCTTTAAAAAGTACGTAACAATTTTTTGGGCAAATAGCTCAAATTTATTAGTTTGATGGTTGATATTACAAAGGTAAGATTATGTGAATAATTTAAAACGATTTGAGAACAAAATAATGAAAAAAAAAAATCATAATATTTGAAATATTCTCAATGTTTTGTTGGCTTCATATCAGATTTGAGTTTCGTCTGGAGGTGGAAAGAGCCTGACTACTAAACTAATTTTAAATATTCATAGACCAATTTCCCTCATGATCTACCAATGTGTTCAAGTAGACATGAAAGTAAAGACCATCAGAATAAATAGAGTTACTTCTAGTGTTTTTTAAAATTTATAATAGTTAAAAGGTAACAAACAGTTTATCCAATTAAAATCATTTAAACTCCCAAAATCAAGCATGGTTTATTAATATTGTTTTTAATTCTGATGTTGGCTGTCCCCATAAGTTTATCTAAAATTTCATTGAATCTTATTTTTTATTAGACTATTTAAATTTTCTGATGATGTAGAGATGATTGACCATGATATAATATGAGAAGGAGTTGATCGGGGGGTGTGGTCAAATAAATACTAAATTATACAAATAGTATTATTTAATTTTTGCCGACGTTTCGACCCACTTTGCAGATCTTCATCAGGGCTACAAAAGATACAAAACATGGTGAAAATAAAATAAATGAATATAAGTAGATATAAAATAAGAAGAATTTGTCTGATAAAGAAATAAAAAGATGATATCAAATATCATCTCTGATATCATCTTTTTATTTCTTTATCAGACAACTTCTTCTTATTTTATATCTACTTATATTCATTTATTTTATTTTCACCATGTTTTGTATCTTTTGTAGCCCTGATGAAGATCTGTAAAGTGGGTCGAAACGTCGGCAAAAATTAAATAATACTAATAATTTATTATTTATTTGACCGGACCCCCCCGATCAACTTCTTCTTTTATTTTAATTTTCATAGATTTTTTCTTTTGTTATTTGCTTATTTATGTTATTATTTTTAATATGTTAATGTTATTGTACAATTTTTATTTTTAATATCTCTATTTTTGACTTTTTAAAGATCCTAACTTTAGTCAGTTATCTTGTCATTAAAATGTTATAAACTTATTAAGCTTAACTTTCAGCTCACTTAAATTGTTATCTTTAAAAACCTAACCTATACAAATTAGATTTTTTCTATTTATCGACACTTCATGACTTTAATGTTAACCCGAAACTACTGGTGCTTGGTCCTTAGGATCTCACAGTACCATTTCCGATCTCGCCGTCAATGGTCAAAATTTATTTCACAACTTATCAACGTAGTAGGTTTCCCTCAATTAGCAATCTATTCAAAGTGACTGAAGACAGTGGTTTGTTTTAATTTTCTTGAAAGATTTCAATGAGCATTTGTCCCAGAGACCAACCATTAATATTTGTAAAATTTGAAAAATCTGTTCAAAGGTAAAATTTTTGTCAAGCAATAATTCATATATATAACTCTGAGATTTAAAAAGAAAAAACTTTACTTATTTAATTTATAAACAAATTACATTTAAAAAAAGTGACATGGATGCGGGTATAAGAAAAATATATAAATACATACACACACACATATATATATTTGTGTAATTACTGTAAGAAATGTATTTGTTAAGAAAGAACTAAGTAAAACTCTGTTAATTGTACAGAGGGAAAAAAAAAGTTTTAGTACTTTTACTTTTAAATAATAGTTTTTGATTAGTTTTGTATAAAGATCGATGCATAATTTAATAACTTTTAACAAATAGGTAAGATTTTGATATATCGTCGGTCTCAATGTGAAGTCAAAAATGTATCAAATACATTTTCATTTTTATTATTTAATTCAACCTAAATTTTAAGAACAATTAATAGTTAATTCATTATACTTTATAGTATATCACTAGCTAGTACTTATAGATATAAAAATGAAAAAGCTAGCTATAACAAAAATTAAATTTTTTAAATTAAATACTTAAAGAAGTTTAAACCTGCTAAATTTATTAAATAGTGGAGCTTTCAACCAAATTAAATAAAGATTTCAAAATGATTGTTTTGGAGGGGGAAGAGGGAGGGGCCCTACTGAAAAGTTTGTATTATGTAGTTGGTGGTTAAATTTCATTTTAAATATTTTTTTTCTGGCTCAACTGAAAAGTTTGTACTTTTTTTTCTTCTTTTTTTTGCACTATCTGTTATTATAATTACTTATTAAAAAAACTAATTGAAAATATTTCAACAAATTATGGCTGCAGAACAATTCTAGAGGGTCAATATAAAATAATTAATATTATTCAAATGGTTTTATTTTGTTGTATTTACATAAATTTTAATTTGAGTGGTTTATGAGTTCTAACGTCAGCACTAATGACTAATCAAATGTCAGTGTTTAAGAGAAAGGTAAAATAAAAATTATAATCTGAATTATTATAATGATTACCTCATGAATATCCTTACAAAGCCAGAGAATGATAGAATAAATATATTTTAACTAAAAGTGAATTAATAAACAGGTATTTGCTCACAAATTTAGTTTATGTATATAAATTATTAGAAACAAAACAACTAAAATTTCATTTATTTTTCCCTTTTTTGATTTTATTATTATTTTTATATACATATATTTTTTGGAAGGGGAGAGGGAGGTTTTTCATTTATATTCTAATATAAAATAATATTTTTAGACAAATTTAAAATTCTTCAAGTTTTTTTTTTTTTTTTATCACTATTGCACCTAGGTCTCCTCTTGAGATAAGATTTTCCATTTTTAGATTTTTAATAGAAAAAATAATTTTTAACAGGAATATTTTTTAGAAGAAATATAGATTGTAATTGAAACTAATTGAAATGTATTAAAATAAACTTACATACTATTAACAAGTTACAAACAAATTCAAGCTTTTGAAAAAAAGAAAAATGATCTGTGGGGAGGAGAGAGAAAGGGAAAATAATTTGTAGTCCACAAGATAATTCCCCCTCCCCCCCCCCGACAGCAAAATAAAAAAAATTACCATAAACCATATATATAAAATAAATAATTATAAGCAAGAATTATTTTAATACAAACAAATTATTAGCATTAAATGGATTTTGAATTTTTGGGTAATCGTAATATATTAATTTTGAAAAGGAAATTATGCTAATTATTAAAATTTACCCCTAGAATCGTTATATGAGCACTATTAAAATTAAACCAATAATACACTCCATTATCTACTAAGCTAATGGATAAGAACATCTGAAAAGATAACAAAATAATTAGACCCCCTTATAAAACAAAATTGACACAGGAACCATTGTAACTGTTAGTAATAAAAATGTTTAAGAACATCACGGAAACCTAATACCCTTAAGTCAGCGTGGGCTCCGTTCATTAAACCACTTGTTGTCTTTAATAGGGATATCCTCTTAGCCAATGCTAAAACATCCCATGAATGTGAATCATAACATTGGCTAACTAAAAATGACAAATACAATTTAATGAAATATTAGTATCACAAATATTAGTAATTGTTATTTTGTAATAACAATACTCAAGGGAATAACGTATTTTTCTATACATTATCGGTATTCAAGATTTATTGTCCTACACATCTTTTAAAATTTCAAAATAATGTGATCAGTCAGTAACTAACATATTTAAGAATACAGTTGCTTCAATGAACTAAAAATAAATTAAAATTATGTCCTAACAACTAAACACTGCTTTAAATATTTATTTATGATCAATAAAAATTAAAATGAATTTATTTTTTTAAATAAATTAATCAAACTTTTTTAAATGGAATTTTTAGAGAAAAAAATAATCTTACAAAAAGAAAAAAAAAGAAAAATCAGAATAGTCTTGAAGAGAGGTATATTCACATAAATTAAACATTAACTTAATAATAAGTAAAATCAATTTGGAAGGTGCTTGGGAAAGAAACTAGGGTAAAAGAAATCCATCTGACATTGACAGGATTAAACTTGTTTAGGGAGGTTCTCAACCAAAGTTAAAATAGGATTGTCAATAAACATTACCAAATAAACAGGATGAGGATCGCACCAAATTAAAGATAAATTTATGAGGACCACTTTTACACTTATCTACAGCAATTTAGGAAATCTTTTACAAGCAATTTTTACTTTTTATTTATTTTCAACCATGAAAGCCAAATAAACTATAAAAGAATTATGATTGAATCGATTATAAAATTTATATGGCCATAAAAGAAATTAAATTAAAACTAAATGAAATTATTTCACTGAAAATAAAAAATAAATTAATTAATTAGATCAAGAGATTATCTATATAAAAATTGGAATGAATAATATGGAAAAACCATAATTTCAAAATAAAATCACTTCTAAAACTTACAGACAATTAATAGAGCTTACACAAATGATATTTTGGGGCATATTTAATTATAGAATGTACCAACCTGTGGTGCCAAATAGTTGATTTACTAAATCCCAGTAAAAACCTTCTTGCATGGATTTATCAGGAGCATGTTGATGGCATAAACGGGGCCAAAGCTGAGATCTTATGGTACTATGGGTCGGCCAACAGTTTTCTCTAAGAATTATTTTCACCTCTCGTTTCTTTCCACAATCTAAAAGGGTATCTATTTCTTCATAACTTTTCAGGGGTATCTTTCTACTACTAGGACTGTCCTGTTGACTAGGAATTTCGGATGTATCGACATGAGGAGGAAAAACCTCATATATATCACTTTCTTCTTCTAAAACTGACAGCATTTTTTTAGTTCAATCTTGTTTGCAACATGTTGCTATACTCCAAATTTAAAATTGAATGAATTTTCTTAGGTAAGATCTGGAAGATGAAGTTTTCTTTTGTCTTTAAGCATCTTGGAATATAAAAACCTGTAAGTTAGGAACTTTTTAAATGTAAGTTTAAAAAATTGCTAAGTGCCAAAATAATTTATCACTAATCAAGCTAACACATAAATGAATACATATGAAATATTGTTTGTGTATTTATATACTACGAATTGCACAATCAATACAGATTAAGTCCGAAATTTTTTACCTAAATTGATCGGTAAACCTTCATTAAATCATATATAAATCGTTCTTCATAAGCACTGAAAATTTCATGAGAAAAACACTACAATCGAAGGCCGGCCAACAAATACTGACAGAGCGCAAAGAAAAGATGTAAAAAAAAACTTCAACAGATTAGAGACATCGAACTGAAGTTAGCAGGGTGAATTTTGTTTACAAAATGGCTGAAACAAGTCAAAATTAGATAGTAGAGGGCAGCACTATTTAAGGTGTGTACACTGTCCTCAACTTTTTCTTCTATAAAGATACCTCAATTGTAAATATTTTTTATAACATAATTCATTTAAAAAAAAAAAACTTTTTTATTTTTTTCATAATTTCTTATATTCATCAAATATATGATATTTTAATATTAAGTAATTCCTGTTCAATAAGGTTATTAAAAAATTAAAAAGAATCTTTTTAAATTAATTTTAATTAAAAAACAAATATATACAAAACAATTCATTAACTTATGACAACTCACTTATTTATTTAAAGTAACAGTAGAACAATATGAACTAATGACAATATGAAACATTTTCATTACTAAATAACATAAAATAAAATTTTTCGATACATCACAACAAATAATATTTTTATTCAATTATTTATAACAAAATAAATAAAATAAAATGGGAGTATCACACAATCCAGTCTTGAAGATCTTGGCAATAAATAATTTTGATTTACAGTCAAACATGTTCAATGGTAAAACTTGATTTTCCAATTTGACGTTTCACTGAAATATTAATTTTTTAAATTAGAAATATTAATATCCATAAAATTTAAAATGAAGTATTAAAAAATACTTACGAGCTCTGCAAATCACATTTGAAGGTTCACTTGTCAAGCAATATCTAGCTTTATTTTCATTTAGACCAAAAATGAGACTTCTATTAATTTAATGATAGGAAAAATATAACAATTAATATTATGAGGCTAAATAAAATACTTTTATTTATACTGGTGTTATGAGTTATTATTTAAACAAGGAGATCATCATAACTTTAAAATTATTTTCAAGCTTATATTGACTTATTAGTAGGAAAAATTTAATATTGATAATTTAATACTTCCTATTTTTTTTTAAAGAAAAAATTGACTATATTTTATTGCAAAAAGTTAATTAAATTATGAAACTAATGAACTAATTGAAAATAATTTATATAAAATTTTTTAACATACTTATATATGTATATATACCCGATTACAATAATTATTTTAAATAATATATATAGAATAAGAGGTAAAGGATACAAATATATAACTTCATAAGGAGTCCTTAGAATGGATGTGTCTGATGTTTCACTTGATAAAATGACATTCTACAAAAAAAAAAAAAAAAATTGTAAAAAATATCTATAAAAATAAAAAAGACTTCCATTAATGGTATCACTAAACTACCTTTGACTTTCCTATAGTGTTAAGTAACTGTGACATGAATATGGTATTATTAAAAGTTGTGGAATCTCTGATCGCAGGACTGTAACAAATCTCAAAATATTTATGTTGTTCTATGAGAAGGTTGTAATGTTTTTTTGTAAGACTCCATTGTGGTTTACTTCTGCAATCAACTGCTATTATATCCACTTCGTTGGTATTGATAGCTTGCTAAAAAATATATATTTTCAAATAAAATATCACAAATTATTATTTTGTTTTTAAATTATAACTATATGAAGTATATATATATATATATATATATATATATATATATATATATATATATATATATATATATATATATATATATATATATATATAAATATTCAAATATAGTAATTAAGAGTTGGAAGATGATAGTTTAAAATCATTATGATTCCTATAACTCATTATGAATGCCTTCTCCACAAAGGGAAAATAATATCTCATTTTTATAATTAAACAAACAGAAAGAATAATACATGATGCATAGTGGAACCTTAGAAAAACTATTTGATTTGAAAAATCATAGTATAGCCAATCAACTTAAAGGAGATTACTATGGGCAAAGCTTAGACTGGTTGATTATGTTCATATCTTCTCCAATATACCATTCTGAATCTTTTCTTTACATTTTGATTTGTTATATATTCTTTCAATCACTTGCATTACTTCTTAAGTTGATTGTTATTTTAACAATGAAATGATACATGAGCGCTAAAAGGGTCTTCCTCAATTTTTTTACTTATAATTATAATGTATATCCAATAAACTTATATTGGAGAATATAAATCATTGGATCAATACGTTTTCTTTGAGTCTTCTTCTAACAACTAAAAATTAATAACTATTAATTTATTTTAAAATGAAAAAAATTATTTTTCATTTGAGTTTGACTATTTTTTTTATTAAATCATATAATAAATCAGAATGACATGAGGGGGAAGGAGAAAATGGAATATTATTATTCAGTTGAAACAACAAATTAATAAATTGACTAAATAAATTAACACCATGAAAAAACATAAGCAGATAGGATGAAAGAATTGAGATAATGCGTATTCGGATTATATGTTTAATACAGAAACACATTATATATCATAAGGAAATATAGGTTCCAACCCCGATATTCAGAGAAGCATGTGAAAGGAAACAGGCTTTTTGTGCAAATTAAATCATAGTTAGATGCAACAGAGATATTTATCAGACTATGTGAAAAATATCTCAAAGTGGATCCTACATGTTCGGTCATGAATGATGGTTATAAGACTGACAAGGATTGCTTCAATCATGATGAACCACATATCAGACTAGGCCATTTTAGCTCAATTGATGTTGAGATTACAGACGATTTGTATCTGGGTATTGTCCATTAATAATAATGTGTTTCATTTTAAAAAATACATTTGACTCTTATCCTTTATAGCATTGGACATGAAAAGAAAAATGGAAATATAATAATCACTACCTAGGGCCTGAAAATGGTTTTGACAAAAATTAGAAAACTATAAGTCAACTAATACAAAAATTAAGGAAAAATATTGCAAAAATTATAAATTTGTTGAAAAAAAGGAACTAACAAAAATACATAACAATTAAAGATTAATTTTTTCTATAAGTAAATTGTGTAGTTTTTCACATTTTTGTATTTAAATTTATTGCCTACTTGACTATTTTCAAGAATATTGGTCGAAGATTGTTTATAAAAATATAAACTAGAGATATAAAAAATTATTTATTTTAAATGAAAATCAGAAATATACATTTGTTGCGAGGCCTAAGTAAACTAACTTATCTAGTAGTAGAGTCAGTTTCCCCGCCATTTTTACCTCAGTCTCCTCTCCAATTTTTGTGATTGAAGCTGTGATTTCTGAATTTCTGAAAATCTGTCAGTCACGTCCATTAGTACATTAATCTAACCTTACACGATCAATCAGAACGTCAATAATTGATTGTAGACCTAGTTTCCGCTCTGAATGTTAAGGCAGGCTCAGGAATAAGAACTTATAGAGTCTTAATTTAGTTGGATGGGAAAAAAAACTGCATCTTGTGTGTACGAGAGACCGAAATAACATCTATTTGCTGAGACTTTTTTTTTCTCAAGGGGGCAGAGTGGCTGAGTGGGCTAACATGTGCAATTGATAACTGCAGTTATAGATGATAAAATAAACATGAGTTCGCGTCCCAAGGCAAGTGATGCTTTTAACTCTGGCATTAAGCCTTCACCCTCTACCCAGGAAAACCGCTAAAATGTCAGGAAGGGAAGAGAAAAAACAAACTATTTTTCAACATAATTACTAAGATCATTAATAAAGTTTGCTGCAGACCCCCAAAAGAAAAACGTACCCATTCATAAAAATTTGTATCCTCCTGCTTCCAAATATTCAGCCAGGTTTCTTCCACTACTATTCTACCTGTATTTAGTTTTTGCTTCATTTATATGTAATTTATAAGCTAATTTTTTTTATTTCTCTCTTTTCTTGCCTTTTCAGGAAGAGGGAGTTAGTGTCGGAGTAGAAAAAATTCCCCTCCCGGCACCAGGATTAACTAGTATTCTTTACACACGCATTAGTCCGCCCGGCTACCCCATCCCAACTACGCAGAATCTTCTGAATGATAACTAAAAGTTGATAAAGGCCTCCTGTGAAGGAATGTTCAGATCAAGCAATAATATAGCCACTTCTCATGTTAAGTTAAATAATACCCAACCCAATACATTGCCTTGTCTAATGATCGTCTCTTAAACACCTAAGGTCTTATCTATTATCTATTCACATAAGGCATTTCATGTTTATAGTCATTTTCACCAGCAGAAACAGCTTCTCGAGTATACCCAGCTTCAACAGGGGTGGAGTTCCTCCCTGTTAGTGTTATCATATGCTCCTTTAAAGTCAACGAAAATATAATGCGTGACTATCAGATACTCAAGAGTCTTCACCAATACCATTCTCACGGAGAAAATTTGATCTATGGTGGTACAGTCCTATCTAAAAGCAGGTAATTACAAAGTAGTCTCTCTGCCAATTATCTTGGTCATTGCCCAATGTATGAAGAGAATATTTGAACACTAGTCCCATCTTCCTCTCTTCAAATTCCGCACTCTTCTCTACTCATTCCTATATACTTCTAATTTTTTTTACTATTAGAAATTTCTTTTCTCAATTTTCTTATTATTTCTTTTACCAATTTTCGTTTGCTATGTCAAATTGGGTAAAGTGAAAATATCCACCCTCAGACCAAAGACGTAATTATGAACATAATAGAGTTTTGGGGAAGTGGAACTTGAGTGGGGGAAGACTGAGTGCACTCCCTTCCTCTACAGGCAAACTCATCCATTATACCTGGAAAATTTAAAAAAAGAGTTTAATCAACGACATCATTGTATGTCATATTAAATTTGCTGCTGATGACCATTCCAAATGGAATAATGGAGTTCAGTGACTGGAAGACTTGAAATTATGGTAATAACCATGTTATCATGTTCATAATTACATTTTTGGTCTGAGAGTGGATATTTTCACTTTACCCAGTTTATTTGACATAGCAAACGAAAATCGGTAAAAGAAATATCAAGAAAATTGAGAAAAGAAATTTCTAATAGTAAAAAAAAAAAATAGAAGTAGGTAGGAATGAGTAGAGAAGAGAGGGGAATTTGAAGAGAGAAAGATTGGCAGGAAAATGTTTTGCCACTGTGCATTTCTCTCCCCCTCTCATCACCGGCAAACTCATCTTAGATTCACTATAACTAACATTAATTTTTTACTTTTAAATACTATCACAATTTTCTAAGAAATACCTTTAAGCATGGAATATTATCAGGAATAACTGCTACTAAATGATATTGTTTTACTGCTGATGATTTAGCCTGAAACTGATAAGTTTTACTATAATAATTTATTCCAAATTAGAAGATTAAGCAATTGAAAATTTTACTTACAACTTTAGAAAAATGAGAAACCTCAGAAATTTTTATGGTCAAACGGTTCAAGATATTTATTTTTCCAGCTAAATCCTTAATTGACAGAAAAGAGTGTATCAGTACCAAAGAAAATAACATCTTTAAATTAATATAAAACAAAGAGAAAAAAATATAAAACTAACTGGAGGTAATTTACAATCCAAAGGTTTTGGAATGCATATATCTTGTTTTTCTCCTTTTTTTGTCTTATTTGATAGTCCTGCAGATAAGTTCAGTATCTGGTTAATGGCTATGGTTCTATAGCCACCTAAAATTATAAGAATAAGAAACTTTTCATCACTCAAAAAACAAATAAATTATAAAAACTTACGTTCAAACCAAATCTTAGAAAGCTTTTCAATATTGGAACCGTTAGGCAAGACATTCAAATCAAAAAATCCACTAAAATCCATTATAGTAATATAAGAAGATTATCGCAACATATAAGTAAAAATATAAAACAAATTATTACAAAAAAAAAAAATCGAAACCACCAAAATCAAACACAAAGTACAAATCCACGTGTTTACATTGACTGTTATTTTACCTTCTTACCCTTCCAAAGAGAATTTCATTTATTTTAAAAACCAAATCACAAAGTAGGGACGGAGTGAAAATATCTAAGTACGAAAACTTCTTTATTAACAATAAAACTTCCAGTAATTACCAATCCAAGAATAAACATTTTTTTTAAAAATCATTATACGTTTTAAACGCATTTTCATGAAATAAATGTATATTTTATAAAAATATTGACAATTTAAAGAACACAATTAAGCTATACATACTAACAAATAAGTGGAGCTTATGTACATACATCATTGTACATGGGATAATAAAAGAATTCATTTTTTGTCTAGTGGCACAACAGACCCATGAAGTTGTCCTTTCTGAATCATTATCCTAAGTGATTCTATCAGCAACGTGTGCTGTGTTCATTCCTGCCTAAGATCTATACATATACTTCGACGTAACTGAAAACCCAACTGTTTTTTCTCTCCTTACCTAGCCATTATTGCTATTTGATGTGGTTATGCTAAATGTAGCCAATCTGTTCTAACCATAACGGGAAGGTTGACGTTCATGCCGAGGAGGAATTTCAACCCGACCATCGAACCAACGTTTCTTTTGTTAAGATGACCTATTAACGCATTGGGCCTCACTGGAGACCACACTGAGGGTGAATGTGAGACTAGGAATAGAGAAAAGGAGGATGGGCAGCCTTCACATAGTTTACAAGCTGTAATATCCGTTCAGTGTGATAAGCCTCTGATCTCTCCTAGAGGTCGAATGGGCTAATGTGATTACAACAGACGTGTCCCTTCGTTACCTCGTATATGAAGATTTCGGGTTCGAGTATAAGTGCAGACGGCATATAAGTCTGGCTTCAATCCTCCACCCTCTCCCTTGGTCCGAAAAAAGTACGTATAGCAGATAAGGTGAGAAATCTGTGTTAGAGTGTTGCCCGCTTTAATTTATCGGCATCGGATCGAATCTGGGCTGGGCGTTGCTCTTTTTTTTTTTTTTTTTTTTTGCGGACCCATGAAATAAATCTTGTCCTTTCCACTCTGGTAGGGATAGGTTTGGTTGTACTACCAGTATCTCCTCCCCACCGCTTACCGAAATGGCGCGATAGGGGACAAACGAAAAAAAAAGAAGTTCACGTATTGAAGCGTTATGCAAACATTTAAATACTATTGTTGGCTCATCTATTAGACCGAAAATTCTACGCCATACTTTTTTTACATAAACCTTCAGACGTTGCTCAACTATTAATGTAAGCGGACGCGTTTCGCATCCATAAAGAACCATAGGAAGGATGATAGTTTTATAAATTATAATTTTTATGTTTCAGGAAAGCAGGCGCGAGCAATGTTTTTTACAACAGAAAAATAAAAAGCATTTCCCGCCTTTAACTTAGCCTCAATTTTCTCTTCAATTTCCTTCTGAAATAAATTGTAATGAAAGATGAAAATTAATCGTACAAATGGAAATGAGGGTATAGAACAATCCTCACTCATTGTATACTACGAATGCCGAAGTAGATAGTTAAGGAAAACAAAAAAATTAAAATCAGTCGGGAGTTGCAGTAAAAATGAATTTGACTACCAATTTCTGCTACTAAAGAACAAGTCTTTATAATCGATATTCTTTACCCTTTTATTACATTGATATGGCTATCGATCTATAAGTATATTATCTTTTGGCGCGGAAGGTTATAAGAGATTTGTATTTTTTTTAAATTGTGTACTCTTTTTATATAGCTTAGTTTAGTTTAATTCTTATAAAATGATGTCCAGCGCAATGAGACAGCTTGAGGAGAGGCATATGGCTTCAAAAATAGAACTTATGGTTTGGTCGAATAAAATGGATTTACTTGCATTATCTAACGTTAAAGGTAATGTTTATAATCTTCTGTAGCTGAGTTATTGTGAGAGAAAACTGATAATGATTATCATTGCCCATTACTTATGATTTGGTTTTGGAAAATTTTATTCAAACTGTAAACTCCTATATATTTCTTTAAGTGAATAATTTTGGAGAGGTAATCTGATTGTCATATAGTTCCTTTACTCAAGAATGAGGAATTCCATGATTGACCATTTTCTCCTGTACTTATGACAGTTCTTGATCATCTAGTTTATTAATACAGCAATACGAGAGATAGCCATAGGTAAGATGGCAGAACAATATCATACAGAAATAGTCATGATAGAAGAATATCCACTTTATCTCTTAATTGAAGTCCATTTTTTAACAGATGGTTTAATCAATCAGGGAGAGGGGTAGCCCAGCGGGTGAGCACTGACTTCCAGAGCTCAAGGTTCTAGGTTTGAATTTGGTTAATGACTAGTAATTTTTCATTAGTCGTGGATTGACCCTGTGTTAGGGAGACCCTCCTGGGGCACACCCAACCTCTATGAAGTGGTTTACCCTTAATTACAAAAACAATTAAGGAGGAAAACGTGGCGGTGAACGTGATATCGGCCCCATCACCTACCTTCACAACCGTTGGCCTTGTAACAGTACTTCCTCACATAGTACTACACCCAAGACCCTTTATGGGTTGTTAGTGTTACAGATCAGGTTTAATCTATCAAAGGGTACCAGTTTACTAGAATTTCGTATGGATCAGGCATGGTTCATTATCACTTCTGTCATATTTGTTCATGAAATGGCGAAAACAGTCTAAAGTTATTACACTAGCTCTTAAACAAGTTTTTGAAAAACTCATATTTCCACCTTAGAACTTTGTTGTTAGCAAGTTATTTATTTACTGATTTGTTAACCATCAATATAATTTCTTTTATAAGGTAATTATTCTGAAAAAAAATATATAAAATGATGTTAGAGTGGTTCTTGAAGGCCTGTCAAAAAAAAAAAAATGCTTTTACAGATTAAATTTCTATTGACACCTGCTTATAAGTATATACATTATATTTTAAGGTACTAGTTCACATGAGTTCAACACGGACTACCCGTGATTCACAATCACTTTGATCACACTTGTTCATAAAATAACGAAAACAGTCTAATGTTCTGAACCTTATGATATCAGCTGTTGTCCTAATCGCACATTTCCCATGAATAATGGAGATCATCAATAATTATATAGAAACCAAACTTTTTTTGGTATGAAACATTTCCATAAATTCTATTAGATGGTAGTTCTTCAATATTTTTTGATAACTTGCCAACATTATTAACAGTATTGTGAATTTCAACTTAAGAATATTGTGTAACTTTTAATTTTCTTTCTTCTATTCAGTTGGTAATCAAATGTTAAACTTTTCATCATATATTTTGAAAATAAAAATTGTCTGAAATGCTTGTAATGATATATCTTATAAAGTGAAATTCTTGTTACCAAAATTGCCTTTATATGTTAAAGAATTACCTAAGAATGTGATAAGCAAAATTTAGCGTTAGGATATTCCTGGCCATTCCTGTTCTATTAGATTCATATCTTTTGTGGTGTTATAATGACTCCGTAGTTAATCTTCATTTTTTAATCCTTGTAGTGGTCTTGATAGAAAGAGAAAAAAAAATTTCATTAAGGAATCTCGATCAAATGATCAATGGTTCCATAATGAATGCTGTGGTTTAACCATTTTTCTCTTACACCAATAACAATGAATTTACTGTGATGCTAATAATATTCTTGTACTTTTTTACAGGTGAAGTTACACTTCATAGACTTAGTTGGCAAAGAGTTTGGACTCTTTCTCCTCCTGGGGAGGATATTTCTGTTAATGGGATTGCATGGAGACCAGATGGCCAGGTGATTGCCATTGGATACAGCAATGGTAATTAAAAAAAAATCTGGTGCGCGCGACACAACTTTCACTTACTTTTGAATAGAAATTATTTTCTGGCCATGTTAGGCTATTATAAAATTTTTGAATTGTATTTTTAACTGAGCTAAGGCTAAAAGATTACAGCTAACAAATCATAAATACTATTAAAATAACATAAGTCCTATTTATTATATCACCGGTTGATTATGGATTGTACGATTCGTTGATTATGGATTTTACGATCTGTTAATTATGGATTGTACGATCCGTTAATTATGGGTTGTACAACTATTGGCTTCTAAACTGTTATTTTCCATTGCAAAGTTTACTAAAATGGAATTAAGAGATTTGCATTGTCTGTCATAGACAGGTCAAAAGTTGTCACTCTAATTGTAAGTGGATTCTGTTGGAAATCGTAAAGGGGAAATTTATCAAATTATTCACTAATTTAATTTTCTAAAAGGTTACATGATTTTTTGGAATAAACGGACGATAGGTACCTAATTATTTAAATATAATGTCATATCTAGAGTTATTAAACTACAGTAAATATATTTAAGGTTATAATTGTATCCATGAAATATTTTTAGGTACTTTTTGTCTAGAGGGCCGGACTGAAACCTCACTTCTTATCTATCTTATCTAACGTCATGTCACATAACCTCCCTCTTCTTATCCCGCCAAACCTTTGAGTTATTGCATTGCTTAGTTTTCAGTTATTCCCTTATTACGTCCACTTATTAAATTCTTTACTTTTGGTCCGTTTGTGTTTATTTTTCATTATTTTTAGTTTTTGGCCCATTTGTGTTTATTTTACATTTTTTTTAGTTTATGGCCCCTTTGTTTATTTTTCATTTTTTTTTTTCGTTTATTTTCGTCATATTATGTTCACTAACACGAATATTCTTAGAATATGGGATTTGCCGCCTTCAGAAGAACAGGCAATTCAATATTTTCAAAATGTTGGGGGTACTTGCCGACGTGAAATTGTGTGAACGAGGTCATCGAATGAAGTTAATCAGGAAGGCCAAATGGAGATGCTTTCGTAGGACTTGTGACACAAAACTTTCAATAAGGAAAGGAACATGGTTGGAGGGCTCGAGGATTTGGTTTCTAACAGCTTTAAAATTGATTTATGGGTGGTCCCATGGCTTGACAACTATGAAGTGGGGCAAAGAGCAGCTGAAACTATCCTACGGAGCTATGGTAACGTGGAACAATGTCTAAGAAAGGTTTGTGCCCATGACTTGTTACACAGGCCAAGAAAAAAAATTGGAGAACCTGGCAAAGTGGTTGAAGTAGACGAAAGTCTTTTTCCTAAACGAAAAAATCATGTGGGGAGAGTTTTACCTCAGCAGTGGATGTTTGGTGAAGTTTGCCTAGAAACAGATGAATGTTTTATCTTTTTATAAAACAGATTTTATAATTTTTCTTTTCTATGTAAATATGTTATTTTAATGTGTTTTTTTATTATTTCATTAATATATGTGTCGTCAAATAAAAGTATTTTTTTTGTTTTTGTATCTGTTTACACTTTCAATAATACGAATTCAATACAATAATACGAAGATATGAAGCAGGAGAAGGCTTATCACTGTGTTATGGGAGTTATCAGTGTTCAGGTTATAAACATTGACAGATAGCAGTAAGAAGGGCGGCCCCCTAGACGAAAAGTACCTATTTTTATATTTCACTTCTTTCACACAAGTACAATAAAATAGTATCTTAAACAATTTCATTGCCTTGAATCCATGCGTTTTAAATACTTTTTCAAACTTTAAACAAATTTTAAAAGTTTACATTTAGTAAAAAAATGTCATTTAATTTCCGTGAAAACATGTTATTATTTATATGTTTTTCGTCACTCTTTGTTACCTTCTAGAACTTTCTATATTAGATATTGTTTTTTCTAAAATTTTCCGCTTTCCAACGATATATAATGAGTATACCTTTTGACCAGTATTTTTGGAGATTCATTTACTCATTGAACCTGAATAAGTATTTTTATTTTTTTCTCCTTTATTTAATTATCAAATTCTTCTAAAAGTTATATTTAGCATTTTTCCATCACTACCAACAATGACAAATAGTTATTATTTATAATAAACCAAATTAAAGGTACTTTAGAGGAAGATATGGTAATGTTGAGATTTCACAAAGAGAAAATGCATCAAATTATTCACTAATTCAATTTTCTAAAAAGTTACATGACAACTTTTCAGAATAAACGTTGATACCTAATTATTATTAAGTTTATTAAACTTTGCAATAGAAAATAACAGTTTAATAACTGATAGTAGTAAAATCCATAATCAATGGATCCAACAATACATAATCAACGAAGCGTACAATCCATAATCAATAGGTGATATAATAAATAGGACTTTTGTTATTTTAATAGTATTTATGATTTGTTAGCTGCAATCTTTCAGCTTTAGCTCATCAAAGTTGAGCAAAGTTCAAAGAGTAAGTGAAAGTTGTGTGTTGTGCACACCAGATTTTCAAATTAATTATCGTTATATATATATAAAAAAAATCTTTCGGGCTGAAGCCCCTCCCCCCAAAATTAAATCTGGATCCGCTAGTGTATATCACTACTATTAGTGCAAAAAGTGGTATATAAAAATGTTCAACTTTTATCCTCTTTGTATTAAAGGTGACATTTTGTAGTCTGCAACTGATATAAGTAGTCTGCTACTATAAAATATGAAATTATACTAATAAAGCATAAATAAATAATGAGTTTTTATGCACTCATGTAAAACAATACATTTTTACATAAGATCTTTTGCACTAACAGTATTGAAATTCTTGTTCATTAAGATTTTTTTTTTTTTATTATTAAGTATAATCAAATATGGAATCCTCAAATACGGCACTCTTTTGTTGAATGTTGAAGGGTAACTGTATTTCCTTATCGGCTTCTCCCAGAGATTTTATTCTCATACGAAAAATTGTATACCTTGTAATATACAATGAAAATGGTGAGGAAGCTATACTGGTCTTATTTGGCAGACTTTTTTTTTTTTTATACAGTTGTAAATATTATATAAATAATAATAAAATAAAAAATTGCTAATAAGTTACATGACAATTTTTCGTAATAAACGTTGATACTTAATTATTTAAATATAATATCAGATCTTTAATCACTAAACTACAGTAAATGTATTTGAGGTTATAAACGTATGCTTTATACATCCATGAAATGATTTTATATTTTACTTCTTCTTTCACACAAGTACAATGAAATAGTTTTTTTAACAATACTGTTGCCTTGATTAATTGGATTTTAAATATTTTTTACAAACTTCTTATTTATTTATTTTGTTATTTTAAATTTGCCACTGCGTTGGAACGCATCAAGCAAATGTGTTGGCGTTAATTATATCTTCTTGATTCCTGATATCTTCTTAACTTTTCAACAGATCTCTAGGCCACTGCCTTTTTAGTCTTCTTTGAGGCTCACCAGGTAACAGGGAGGAAGATAGAGATAGAACGAGTGGATTTGGATGATTGAGAGTAGAAGTGTGAAATGTTGTGTATTTGTTGTGTATGTAGGATTTTACTTTTGGTATGTTCATGTCTTTGTGTATGGTGTGATTTGAAATAAACCAAGGAGCATTGACAATTTTACGGAGTATTTTGGATTGTGTGGTTTGAATTTTGTTGATGTGTGTGTGTTTTGCGGAACCCCAAAGTTCTGCTCCGTATGTCCAAATAGGTCTTAGTATAGTGGTGTAGATTAGTCGCTTGTTTAGTAAGTTGAGTGGAGATCTGTAGTCTAAAAGATGTGACAGTTGTTTATATCGTCTGGTCAGTTCTTGTTCTTTTAATTTAGTGTGAATGTTCCAGGTGAGTTTTTTGTCCAAGTATAGTCCGAGATACCGTACATGTGTTTTTGAGGGAACTGGTTTATTGTCTATTGTCACAGCAGGACACGAGATTTTCCTCAGGGAGAAACTAACATGAGTTGACTTGCTGGGATTGATGTTAATTCCCCATTTGTGAAACCATTTTTCAATGACGTGCAGGTGATTTTGAAGGGCTATTGAAGAGATAGTGGGATTTTTGTGAGAAGAAAGTATTGCCGTATCGTCAGCAAAGCTATAGAGAATGGTGCTAGGGTGCTCAGGGATATCAGATGTGTAGACAGAAAATAGAAGAGGACTTAAAACACTACCTTGTGGTACGCCCGCAATTTGAGGAAAGAAGGGAGAAGTAGAGGAATCAATAGTAATACAGAAGAACCTATCAAGAAAGAAAGATTGAAGAATCAGAAAGTAAGTTGAAGGAAGGTGTGGTTTTATTTTCCACAGTAAACCTTTGTGCCATACGCTATCAAACGCTTTCTCAATATCCAGGAATATCGCTGAGCAGAATTCTTTTTTTTCGAAGGCGACTGAGATAGCATCTACTATACGATGACACTGTTGTACAGTGGAATGGTAAGAACGAAAGCCAAATTGATGATTCGGAATAACTTCCCGACTTTCTAGGATTGGCTTTATTCTAAGAAGAAATAATTTTTCAAATATTTTGCCCATTATGGGTAAGAGTGCAATCGGACGATAAGAAGAAGGGTTACTGGTAGGTTTAGAAGGCTTAGGTATCATTTTTATTGTAGAAAGTTTCCAAAGGAGAGGGAAGTAAGTTGTGCGTAAGATAGCATTATAGATGTGAGTAAGAAAGATAATGGCTTTTCGGGGTAGGTGGCGAAGGATGAAGGGAGTGATAAGATCATAGCCAGGAGCTTTTTTGTTTGAAAGTCGGTTGAGTTCCTTGTAAATGTCTTTTGGGTGAAATGCTGGCGGAAGTGGTGATAAGGGTAGTGGGGTTGTCAAATCGTCTTCAATCTTAGTATTGTGCGTGTTGTCCTGAATATTATTTGTCCCAAAAACCTGAGCAAGATGTTTTGCGAATTCATTAGCTTTTTCTTCGCCTGTTATGGCCCAGGTTTTGTCCGTCCGTCGGAGAGGATATTGAACATCTTTTGTCTTAAGTATACGTCTTGTTGCTGTCCATATTGATTCGTTTCTATTGTTCATTGAATTTAGGTAGTCCTTGTAACTGTTATTTTTAAATGCTGACAGTTCTTGTTGAAGTTTTCGGGTTAGTCTGTTAAGAGCTGTTTTGTGTGATGGATATCTGCTTCTTTGCCACAGAGCTCTAGTTCTGCGTTTTTCTTTTAGTTAATAAATTTCATTTAATTCCCTTGAAAACATGTGATTTACATTAAATATTATTAGTTTTCAAAAATTATTATTTATAATTTTTTCACCACTCTCCATTACCTTCAACAATTTTCTATATTAGATATTGTTTTTTTCTAAAGTTCTCCGCTTTTCAACGATATATTATACGCATACCTTCTGACTAGTATTTCCAAAGATTCATTTTCGACCTGAATAAGCATTTTAACTAATGAGAAATAGTTAATTATTTAAAATTAACCATATTAAAGATACTTTAGAGGCAGGCGTATATGAACATTGGGCATTTAAGCCATGTAAAGTTAGATCAATGGAGATAAGACATAAATGATATTAAAGATCTCTTATATAATGATACACCAACTTTAATCAAAATCGTAAGAGCCGTTTTTGAGAAAATTGTAAAAATGTGTTTCAGTATTGATAAAAAGTGGCACTTCCAGACTCGAAAATTTTCATGATTGCAATACTTACCCGTACTATATATTACATATATAAGTAATTGAAATTAAAAATGTTTTGTTTTTTTTGTCTAAAAATGTATTTGCGCCTGACAGCTTATTTTTAACAATCAGCAAATGTGATGCCGATACAGGAAATAATGTTGACAGGCATGGGGGTAAAAATAATTAATTTACTGGAATTGATTTAATAAATTTAGGTAAGATTAAAGAATATTTCTATAATTTGTCCTTAAATCAACGTATGGAAGTTATCACTGAGTTTAACAAAAGTTTCCATATTTTTATGTATTAAATAAATATTCAAATTAATTCTTGGGATTATTAATTACATATAATGGTTAAGAATAGAACCATAGTAGAAAGAATAGAAAGGCATAGTAGATTAAAGAATATATTAAATTGAAGAAGAAGAATCTGTACGAGATGGAAAAGGAACCTGTCTGGATTGTTGAAAGTATGAATTAAATGGAATTTGCTTTAAAATACACCTGATGAAATATTTTGGCGATTTTACTTTTTCTTCTCTTAACTACACCTTTTCATTTAGTTTAATTTATAAAATTATATTTAACTAGTTGGCTATTAGTTCAAATACCTTATAAATTTAATGTTTAGATGTAATTTCTTATTTATTCTTTTTCATCAGTTGTGGATTGACCCTGGGGCACACCCAACCTCTATGAAGTGGGTACTCTTAATTAATTAAGGGAAAAAAACCTGGCAGTCGAGCGTGATGTCAGTCAAATCACCTCCTTACACAATCGTTGGCCCAGAAACAGTACTTCCCTGTATAATACTAAATCCAAGATCCTTCATGGATTGTAGTGGCGCCGGTTTTTTTTTTTATAACCCTTTAACTAGCTTTGAAACATCAAGTATATATACTAGACTGCCTCTACGTACTGTAGTTTCTGGTTAATTTTGATAATATCTATCTATGTAATGGTATCACTTTTGATGGAGAAGAAGATTATCATGATGTGACAATTAACATTGGTTGAGGCCTTACGTTTATTAGATGCATAAAATATATGTTTATTGCTGCATGACGAATAGTTGCTACAAAGATTAATTTTATAGGAGTATGAATCCCTTTGGAAGCAATCAGTAGCCACGGTTGGTACAACCTTGTCTGTTATTTCACAATAAGCAGAAAAGAAAATATTTTTAGCTTAAGTTCAGTTTGTTTTTGTTTATTAAAAATTAAAACTTATAAGAGTGCTACCAATGGGTAGTTTCTCTACAAGTAATTTTTTTCTGTCATATTTATTAGAAGTATTTTTATTTTAATACAGTTGTAAATTTTATTAATAAAAAAAAAAAAATTAAAACTGTTTAAAATTATTGACTACATTGAACATTATTATGTTTGTTTGCTCAACTTCTTTGATAATGTCCTTTTTCTTTTTAGGCAAATCAGTTATTAGTATTATCAAATTTTAGGAATTGTGCTCATTGTTGATGTAGAAAATAAGGATATTGTTCATAAAAACAATTATTCAACCAGTGAGAATGAAAGTTGTTCAATATCTTCAATATGCTGGCTTGAAGAAAAGAGTTCACTTACGGGTACTAACTGCAGTAACCTCATACAGGTGATTAATTTTCTTTATCTTTGCTTTATGTAGTTACCAGATATAACTGTCCATGATTCCATTTACTGTTTGCCATAATTTTGTTTACAGAAACAATACAAAGATATCTTTAATAAATGCTTTATTAATTAGAATGCTTGAAATCAAAATTTTAACAGTTTTAAATTATAACAGTAAATAACTAAACTTATACGTAAAGTATTTGTATAATAATTGAATAAACTAAACAGCTTTTTGTTAGCTATTTAAAATATGTCAAACTACAGTACAGACTATGCTACAGAAAAACTTGGAATAGATGGATGACAGAAAAGCCATATCTTTACTTATAAATTGCAATCAATTGACTCTAATCTTAGTATAAACATATAACATACTATTATGCTTGAAAATAATTGATCATCTTATGTATGTATAGGATTGGAGCTTTCTGTTAAAAAATAATCCTAAGATCTTGAGTCTATGTTAAATTGACTTAACATAAAATGTATGTATTCTTATTAAAAAAAAAATAAACTCTTAAATTATGTTTATCAAATAAAATATGCTTCACATGTCATTAAATTTTTCTTTGCATTTCTATTTATTGCTTAATTATCTGTATACTTTTTGGTTAATATATTTTATTGAAATACTTTAACCATGTTTTGATATTTAAGACCAATCAAATTAGGACTAATAAGGGCAAATCAGGAAAAACTTAAAGTCGTAAATTTAACTAAGTTTATGCCACTGTTGGCAGTTTGGTCCCTTTCACAGTGAATGCTAGATTAAATTAGAAGACAATTCATCATAGAGAAAAACTTCATAAGTGTAAAATGTTTACAAATTTGTATATTGTGGTCATCTCAAAAAATAAAAAAACAATAGTTTCAGAGATATTGGTGAAAAATACAAAAAAAAATTATTGAGATTTTGTGATTTAGATTTTACTTTCCTTTCTAATTTCATTCAGTGATTATTATGCAATTATTTTAGTTCCAATATTGTAGTACTGAACCCCTATTACCCAACTGTCCTCGTTAATTTATCCTAAGAGCTTAATTAATACTTAATGTATTACATGTATTTTGTTATTATTCATTGTAATAAGTCTTTTGACCAGATTTATAGTTAATATATATGAACAATACTGTTATTCTAAAGGGACCTAGTCCCAGAATAAAGATGATTTTTCTATTTCTATTTCTATTTATTCACTGAGTGTGTATACAGTCTAGTTCTAAAACAAAAACTCGGAGTGAAATTAGGAGTCAGTTTATGTATGTATCATATTTTTTTTACTAATATGTTCTCATTACTTATCTTGTCTTATTGTTTTCTTTGCAGGAGAATGCTGCTGATTTCTTACCCCGCCTTCCTCCTATTTCAAGAACTTTTGGATCCATCAATGAAGAATCAAATGAAAATCTTGAAGATACTAAGAAGGTATCCTGCCAGAAGGAACTGAATTTTCTAGTTGTAGGATTTACTAGTGGTAAATTGTTTGTTACTGTATTTGGGTTGTTTGAGTGCGGTATTATTCATCTTCCCGATGATCTCAAGTCAAATGCCATTCCAGTTGCTGTGGAAATTTCTGCTGATTTAAAAAATATATTTGTGCTTGTTAGCAACGGAAACTGTTTAAAATTGATTGTCTATGATAGCTATGTTTTGAACTCATATTGTAAAGAAATATATGCCTTGGCTTACAAGCATGGTCAGATAATGAGCTTAATGGACTATCTAGATAATACCATGCATGCTGTCTGTGAAGCTTATGAAAATATTTTACTTCTTGATATGGAGTCGAAACTATCTCATTATGCTGACTCTATGCCTGAGGGCACTGTATCAGCAGATTTTTTGGAATTGCTTATGTTCGGCCACATGACAGATTCTTTGGAATCCTTCCTTTTGCACGATCTCACTGACAAAGGAATCAAGAAACTAAGACACTCTATAGAACTTAGCCATTCCAACATTCAAAAACTTGTACTGAAGCATGTTCAAGCAGTTGGACAAAGCATAGCGTTTCATCTTTCCGAATTAAAAGGTATGGCTCGTTATACAGAACGCTTCCAAGTTCTTGGTGTAGATGAGCCAATGGTCACAAAAAGCTTTTCAGAGGTCGGCTCTTTCCTGGTTAAAGCCAATGAGGTTCTCTTAGTTATCGATGAATCAATGAAGAAGTATAAAGCTTTATTTAAATGGTTATATGATGTAATCCTTAGAATATCTGATGACCGAATGCCCGACATGCAAGTGCCTGGTATAAATGAACAAGACACTAGGTTTATAGCGGATTACTTATATAATTTAGAAGGTTATAATGCCAAATCTAGTAAGAAGCATTGCTTTCTTGATCATCTAGGGCAGTACATCAATGATGAAGAGTTGACACATACTTTAAGCCCTGAACTAAACCTTTGGGAAGTATTTTTAAAAGATAACCCTTGCATTGCTGCCAATCAAGCAATCATTCCTCGACATGATAAATTATCTTTGACTCAACAGCACAACAAACTTAAGCAGGTTCTAAAAGATGCTTTTAGCAATCCACAAAAAGCGATTGGATCCAAAATTTCTGTAGCCTCTGTCACTAATTTAATGGGTGTATCTTGCCTTCCAAAAGTCTCTATTACTCATTTGTTTGAAAAGGATAAACTTATTCTTGTGTTTTTACCTCATTTAAATACAACTAGTTATGTATATATGGATATTATCGTTCAGGAAGGAAACATATCTAAATCAAGTATCTACTTCAAGTCTCAAGACATCAATACCGGTTATACAGTTGTCGATTTGCAGATTTACAACAAGGACACCATATCAGTGCTTCTACAACAGCCTGGTGAATCAAGAAATTCTGTCTTCGTACAGATGTCTATGAGGAAAATACAAGAGTCAGCGACTCCTGCTGATGTTGAAAACTTTGTGGATGGAATAACACTGGTAGAACCGGGAGCACTGAGAGTCATTGAAAATATGGTAGCCTGCAGGCTGGCTGTCAGCGGGACCCGGCGAGTCGCAGTCATGCTTTCAGAAAACATGCACAAAGTCAGGACTTACGAAATGGAAGTTGAAGAGGATGAAGAAGAGGAGGACATGGAAACAACAAGAGAAAGTGATAGCAGCTCGTTACATCAAAGTATTTAGTAACAAGTTTTCTCTTAGTTGTACATTGTGTATATATTTTCAGAAGTTATTTTTATTTATTTTTTTGTTTACTTTATCAGTGTTTTCTTTGTTATTTAATAATATAATGGAAATTTTTTTAAAATTTATTCAATGGTTTTATATTGGTATCATTTATTAAACCGTTGTGTTAGAGATCATAAATCTTTTTACAATCCTACTTCCTTCTAGCAAAGAATTACTTGATAGTAAATCTAGTTAGTTAAACAATATTTTAATAATGATCAGTTCAAAAGAATATAACATCAGGTGTTAAAATAATGTATAGAATAAATTATTTGTTTTTCTACCTAAATTAATTGGTCTTCATGAGAAGCAGTTGATTTGCCAACTTGATGTAGATGTATCAATTTCTGTTATTCAATCTACACTCAACAATATCTGCACCATTATAAGTGGTTTTATTTTGAATTAATATTTATTATATTTCACTATAGTTGTTATAAATATTTGCAAATAATTTTAATTTTTGCCGACGTTTCGACCCACTTTGCAGGTCGTCTTCAGGGCTACAAAAGATACAAACATGTTGAAAAAATAAAAATAAAATAAAAAATAAATATAAGTATATATAAATTACGAAGAAGTTGTCAGATACAGAAATAAAAGATAAAGAAAATAAATACATGATAAGAAAATAGATAAAAGAAAATAAATACATGAATGTTAACGAATAAATGAATGTTAACGAATAAATTGATTGAAAATTGAATAACTATTGTTACAGTAAAGTTAAAATATGGATAAGATAACATAATAATAAGATATCAGTGGATAACAAGCAAGTGGAGGTTACCTTTAATTGTAAATAAACAGATAACGGGACCAAAGGTTAAGAAGTGAAGAAATTGAAAGATTAATAGGGTAACATTAGTGTAATATTGTTGGGATAGATTATTAAGTATAAATAACTCTATAAGAAAACAATAATTTTAAAAGAATACTTTAAAATGTAAGAATAAATGTAAAAACAAGGTTATGATGATAAAGAAACAAAAAACAGGTTGTACTATATATAGATGACAATTGACATTTAGTTTTTTGAAAGCGGTAATGGAATGGTAGGCTATATGAAGATAATAATAAGGTGTATAGTTGAAGGATAGGTGTGTTAAGAAAGGAATCTCAATAAAAGTCAAAACATACCGTTGGATGTGGCACTGCGGGAGGCGGTTGAAACACTGGCAGTGTCAAAAACTCTAGTTAGCAGTGTCAAAAAAAAAGTTCTAGTAAAAATAACCATATATATAATAAATATATATATAATAAATTTATATATATATATATATATAATAAATTTTAATAAATATATTTTAATAAATATATATATATATAATAAATTAAATATATATATATATATATAATATAATAAATATATATATATATATAATATATATATATATATATAATATATATAATATATATATATATATATATATATATATATAAAAGGAGAAGTAAAAGAAAGTATAAATGGAAGTGAGAAGATTAAATAGAGGTTTATGATCGAGACTTTTTTAAAATGTTGATGATTTGGGAGTAGGCGAGTGATAGATTTTGCTTGTCGGTTTTTAAGTTAAGTGGTTTGTAGTCTAATTGAATGAAAACACTTTCCGTAAGTAGTCTTTTGTCGTGGTTAGGTACTGTGGCAAGAATGGAGGTATTGTCAAAGTCAAATGTGTGGTTTGAGGTTAAGGCGTGTTCAGAGAGTTTAGAAGCAGTAGAGTTCTTAGAAGTAATTGAGTATTTGTGTTGTTTGATGCGGTCTTTAAGTTGGTTTTTGGTTTCTCCAATATAGGCGGAGTTACAATTGGTGGTAGAGCAAGGAATGCGGTATACGATATTAGAGCGGTGTTGCGGAGCGATGGGGTCTTTTAGGTTGGAGTAAATATTGGCAAGTTTGTTATAGTTTTTAAAAGCAACTCGCAGGTTGGGAATAGAGGAACGTAAAGATTTTTGAATTATATCCGAAAGTAAAGGGATGTATGGTAGAGATCTATATAAAGGAATGGGGGGCTGATTTTGAGAACTAGAGAAAGGGATGGAGGATGAGGGGCGGGTTTTGTAGTCAGTAATAAGTTTTTTAATGGTGTTGGAGGGGAAGTTATTAGACAATAGTATCCGTTGTATGCGTCTAGTGTTTGTTTTCATGTAGGTAAGGGTCTAGACGCATACAACGGATACTATTGTCTAATAACTTCCCCTCCAACACCATTAAAAAACTTATTACTGACTACAAAACCCGCCCCTCATCCTCCATCCCTTTCTCTAGTTCTCAAAATCAGCCCCCCATTCCTTTATATAGATCTCTACCATACATCCCTTTACTTTCGGATATAATTCAAAAATCTTTACGTTCCTCTATTCCCAACCTGCGAGTTGCTTTTAAAAACTATAACAAACTTGCCAATATTTACTCCAACCTAAAAGACCCCATCGCTCCGCAACACCGCTCTAATATCGTATACCGCATTCCTTGCTCTACCACCAATTGTAACTCCGCCTATATTGGAGAAACCAAAAACCAACTTAAAGACCGCATCAAACAACACAAATACTCAATTACTTCTAAGAACTCTACTGCTTCTAAACTCTCTGAACACGCCTTAACCTCAAACCACACATTTGACTTTGACAATACCTCCATTCTTGCCACAGTACCTAACCACGACAAAAGACTACTTACGGAAAGTGTTTTCATTCAATTAGACTACAAACCACTTAACTTAAAAACCGACAAGCAAAATCTATCACTCGCCTACTCCCAAATCATCAACATTTTAAAAAAGTCTCGATCATAAACCTCTATTTAATCTTCTCACTTCCATTTATACTTTCTTTTACTTCTCCTTTTATATATATATATATATATATATATATATATATTATTATATATATTATATATATATATATATATATATATATATAAATTTATATTTATTATATATATATATATATATTTATTAAAATATATATATTTATTAAAATATATTTATTAAAATTTATTATATATATATATATATATAAATTTATTATATATATATTTATTATATATATGGTTATTTTTACTAGAACTTTTTTTTTGACACTGCTAACTAGAGTTTTTGACACTGCCAGTGTTTCAACCGCCTCCCGCAGTGCCACATCCAACGGTATGTTTTGACTTTTATTGAGATTCCTTTCTTAACACACCTATCCTTCAACTATACACCTTATTATTATCTTCATATAGCCTACCATTCCATTACCGCTTTCAAAAAACTAAATGTCAATTGTCATCTATATATAGTACAACCTGTTTTTTGTTTCTTTATCATCATAACCTTGTTTTTACATTTATTCTTACATTTTAAAGTATTCTTTTAAAATTATTGTTTTCTTATAGAGTTATTTATACTTAATAATCTATCCCAACAATATTACACTAATGTTACCCTATTAATCTTTCAATTTCTTCACTTCTTAACCTTTGGTCCCGTTATCTGTTTATTTACAATTAAAGGTAACCTCCACTTGCTTGTTATCCACTGATATCTTATTATTATGTTATCTTATCCATATTTTAACTTTACTGTAACAATAGTTATTCAATTTTCAATCAATTTATTCGTTAACATTCATTTATTCGTTAACATTCATGTATTTATTTTCTTTTATCTATTTTCTTATCATGTATTTATTTTCTTTATCTTTTATTTCTGTATCTGACAACTTCTTCGTAATTTATATATACTTATATTTATTTTTTATTTTATTTTTATTTTTTCAACATGTTTGTATCTTTTGTAGCCCTGAAGACGACCTGCAAAGTGGGTCGAAACGTCGGCAAAAATTAAAATTATTTATATATTTTAATTTTTTTTATTTTTTTGACCGCACCCTCGACTAATTCCTTCTCATATCATATCAACGGTCAACCAACTCTACATCATTTGCAAATAATAATAAGTTCATTTGTTTCATTCATATTTATAAATAATGATAACAAACATCTATTTTTTTTGAGAAGGAATTAGTCGAGGGTGCGGTCAAAAAAATAAAAAAATTAAAATATATAAATAATTTTAATTTTTGCCGACGTTTCGACCCACTTTGCAGGTCGTCTTCAGGGCTACAAAAGATACAAACATGTTGAAAAAATAAAAATAAAATAAAAAATAAATATAAGTATATAAATAAATAATAAATAAATTACGAAGAAGTTGTCAGATACAGAAATAAAAGATATAGAAAATAAATACATGATAAGAAAATAGATAAAAGAAAATAAATACATGAATGTTAACGAATAAATGAATGTTAACGAATAAATTGATTGAAAATTGAATAACTATTGTTACAGTAAAGTTAAAATATGGATAAGATAACATAATAATAAGATATCAGTGGATAACAAGCAAGTGGAGGTTACCTTTAATTGTAAATAAACAGATAACGGGACCAAAGGTTAAGAAGTGAAGAAATTGAAAGATTAATAGGGTAACATTAGTGTAATATTGTTGGGATAGATTATTAAGTATAAATAACTCTATAAGAAAACAATAATTTTAAAAGAATACTTTAAAATGTAAGAATAAATGTAAAAACAAGGTTATGATGATAAAGAAACAAAAACAGGTTGTACTATATATAGATGACAATTGACATTTAGTTTTTTGAAAGCGGTAATGGAATGGAATCTATTTTTTTTCTTTTAAGCTTCTTTATTGAAAAATATTACAATCTGTCTCAAGGACATTTATAATAGTGATTTTTTTATTATGATATACACTTTATTATGGTTATTCATTTTTAGTGGAATCATTATTTAATTTTTAACATCAATCAAAATTAGATTAGATAAGTTCTAAAATACAATAACATTCTCACAACTTTTTTTTTTTTTTTAAATCATTCATTTAACTTTGTAATCTTTTGTCCTTACTAGGTATATTCAAATCTTTTAGTGGGGTAGCTCATTGGTATGACACTGAGCTTCCAATGCTAAGGTCTCAGGTTCGAACCCTGGCTCATGGCAGACAATTTATTTATCTGTTTCATTGGCTATGGGGCGACCCTGGGTCGGGAGACCCTCCTGGGGCACACCCAGCCTCTATAAAGTGGGCACCC